CACATCTATTCAGAAAGGAACAATTAATATCCACATGGACTCTAAAAATGCAAACAGAATCAACGCCGCAAACAGAGGAGATATTATCAGTTTCAACATAGACGCAATCTTGAAAACAATACACGGAAGTGCCAAACACATATACCGTGAGGGAAACACAGCCGCACACAATCTCGCCCACTATGCACTTACAAACAATCTTTATTCCGACTTTCTCGCATTCAATACACTCCCCAAAAATGTTAGGGGAGCAATCAAATGTGACAAAACTTGCATCTTTATTCGGCTACATTAATATAATATTTTGTTTTGATAATATATATATATATATATATATATATATATATATATATATATATAAGGGGGTTTTTATTGCATTCTAATATTGGGAACAAGAGAGTCCAATGAGATTACAGAGGAGATAATTCTAGGTAGAGAGGAAAATTTTTCAAAAGTCACAAGTTGCAAGCAAGTTGAGCCGAGCTTTGCAGAAGATCAGCTGCCCCGTTGGCTTCTCTGAGGGTGTGAGTGAGATGATGGTTGGACGCCTGGAGGCTGAACCGGATGGAGGTGAGAGCATTAGAGTTGGTGCTACCACGTACGTTGTTGATGAGTTCCATGCTATCGGTTTCCACGATCATATTTTGGAGGGTGTAGATGCTTAGGGCCTGAGCCATTGCAAGAGTTTCTGTGGTTGTGGGGGAGGTGAAAGGGAGTGGGAAGGCGATTGCATGGAGAAAGTTTCCTTGGTGATCTCTTAGAATAGCTCCTCCTCCACAGTTGTTACTGGTCATGCTACCATCTACGTTGAGCTTGTATTGGTAGCGGTTGGGAGGAATCCAGCGTACGAGTTTGTATGGTTTGGAAGGGATTCTTCTGAGAGTTTGAGGCATGGGGATTCCTTTGCGAGCAAAAGACCATGCATTCAATGTGTGTTTGATGATCTCAAGGGTTTTTCCAAGGAGGAAGTGGCCATTATCAAATTTGATCCGGTTGTAGGTTTTCCACAGCTCCCAGGTGATGATGCTTGGTATGTTTTGTTTAAGATGAAAGAGGGGGTCAGCCGGGGTTGAGGAGAGCCACCACATGATGAGGTTGTGTTGAAAGGAGGAGTGAGTAATTTCGGGCATGTGCAACATTTCTCCCAAGGTGTTCCAGATAGTGGAAGCTTTTGGACACTGTATGAGGCAGTGTAGGTCAGTTTCCAGAGCGTGTTCACACATGAGGCACATAGAGGGGAGATTGTAACCTAATTTTTCAAGGTTATTGGCATAGGGGGTGGCTCCATTTAGGGTTCTCCAGAGGAAAAGGCTTGCTTTTGGGATGCTTTTCTTAGGCCAAGGGATGCTCGCTGTGAGTAATGAAGGCTCTGGGTTATGAAGTTTTGCAGTAACCTCTTTGAGAGAGAACGAGACATTGTCTCCAATGTCCCATTCAAGACAGCCATTGTTGATGGTGGAGTTTGCAACGCAGAAGTCATTCGCTTGGCATATCCTTTTCCAAATTGGGCTATCAATAAGGGTTGTTGTAAAATTTCCAGTGCGATGGTAGCTCTGTTTGAGAAAAGTTACCCACGGGGAGAAGGTGAAATGATACTTCGACCAGAGCTTGCATCCCAGTGATTGTTGAAGAGTGTGAAGGTTAGGGATCCCAAGACCCCCTTCAGTCGTAGGCATGCATATTTTTTTCCAGGAAATCCATGCATGGTTGACATTGTCGTCTGTTTTCGCCCAAAAGAAGTGGCATAGTTTGCACTCAATCAAAGTGAGGACTCCCTCAGGAAGTTTGGAGGAGGACATGGTGTGTAAAGGAAGGGTGGAGAGAACATATTTGATGAGAGTGAGCCTCCCAGCTTGTGATAAGGTGTGCATTTTCCAGCTGGAGAGCTTGTTATCAATCTTATGAAGGAGATCTTGGCAGTGTTTCAGCCTGTTTATACCCTTGTAGATGGGAGTGCCAAGGTAGGTTACTGGCAGTGATGCCACTTTCATGCCCAAGCAATCTTTTTGGCGTTTTGCATGGTTGGAGGATGGCTTTGGCAAGATGATCTGGCTTTTTGTGAGGTTGAGGTGAAGTCCAGTTGATTCTTCGAAGGAGTTAAGGAAGGTTTTTAACTTCTTGAGGTTGTGAAGGGAGCCATTAGTAAATATGAGCACATCATCTGCATATGATAGGTGATTGACCGTCTGAATTCTACCTGTGTTAAAGCCTTTGAGGTGGCCTGTGGAAACCAGCTTGTTAAGGGAGCGTGTGAGTCCTTCCATTGCAATGATAAAAATGTATAGGGACAGTGGGTCACCCTGCCTAACACCTCTCCTGGGGTTGAAAGGTTTGGATGGGCTTCCATTCACCAGGGTGGAGATAACGCCGTGTTGGATGGAGTTCATTACTAGGGTGGTGAAATTTTGGTTGAATCCAAATCTGAGTAGGCATTGCGAGATATAATCCCAGGAGATAGTGTCAAAGGCTTTTGTGATGTCAAGCTTTAGGGCTAGGTTCCCTCCTTCGGTTTTACGATCAATAAGGTGAATGAGTTCTCTTGCAAGGAGATGATGCTTGGTAGAAGGGTTGTGAGTCTGGATGCCAAAATTCTGGTGATGATTTTTGAAGAGAAATTTGTAAGGGTGATGGGGCGGTACTCAAAGAAGGTTGCGGGGGATTCTTTTTTGGGGATTAGGACCATGTTGGATTTCCTCATGGCTTTTGGGGTGATGATACCTAGAAATGATTCTTGGATGGTACTTCGAACATCTTCTTGGATAATGTCCCAGGTTTGACAATAGAATTTGCCATTAAAACCATTTGGGTTGTTAGAAAAGGCGTGCAACTCTAGAGGGGGGGTGAATAGAGTTGTTGAGAATGTTTACCGATTTTCGCAAGATTAAAAAAAAGATAAACGAAAGTGCAGCGGAAATAAAATAGAGAAGGCAAAGAACACACCGATGTATACTGGTTCACCACCTCGTGGCTAGTCCAGTTCCCCGAGAGACTCTCTCGAAGCTACCACTACTTCCGTTAAGCTTACAGGTGCTTAACAAACCGTTTACAACTCGAGAACTTGAATCCCACAAGCCTCGATACAACCGCTCGTAGATATGCCCTCTACAAGACTTCACAACCAAGACTTAAATCACATAAGCCTTGAACAACAAGAAGAACAATCTTCTTCAACCTCTCAACAATAGCTCTCAAAAGAGTAGATAAGAGAAAAGATTAAAGCTCTAATGGATGACAAAACACTCTCTTGAAAACACTTAGTTTTCTCTCAAAATAATATAAATTTGAGGAAAGATTGATGGAGGATTAAGACCTCAAGAATGGGGAGAATTGGAGTGCTTCTTATTTTTGAAAACAGACCAAGGAAGAGTGTTTAAATAGATGAAAAAGAAACAAATCCGTTGGAAGTGGGGAAGGCTGATTTGACAGAAAAAAAGCCGTTGGGGATCGATCCAAGGGTGAGGATCGATCACCTGGAGTAAAGGATCGAACAAAGATTTTTGCCACAGCTACGGGGGATCGATCCAAGGTTGGGGATCGATCCTCTAGAACCAAAAGCCATGAGACGGATTTTCGCAAGCCTTCGGCGGATCGATCCAAGGAGATGGATCGATCCAAATCCCTAAGTACAAACCACGGTGATCGATCCTAACAAATGGATCGATCCACTGACGAACAATCCTCAGACATGAGGACCCAAGACATGTGTGCGAGTGGGATGGATGTTTGGAGTTAAATGCATTGTTTTGGACAAGAAAAACAAATCAAAAGGCTCCCCAATCAACCTACATAATTCAAATTCAAAATTTGAATTACAAAAAAATATTTTTGGTGTAGAAAATGAGTTCCAAAAATATTTTGTGTGTCAAAAGATGTACACGAAAAATATTTGAATAAAATATTTTTGCTTACCAAAAATATTTTATATTATCAAAATAAATATTTGATAAATGTTTGGCACACCTTTTGTGACTGACTCAATAAAACTATTTTGAACAGTTAAAATGGTTTTTCAACTGACTCCAAAAATAAATATAATTTTTATTTTAACTCTCATAAAAATAATTTTGGAGAGAAGATATTTTTGTCATCCTTACAAATATTCCTACGACTCAAATAAATAAAAAGTCTTCGGAAATCTTCTACTCCTCCGATTTCTCTGTTAGGCGCTCCGAATGCGTCTTGGACTCCAATAAAATCGTGTGCACCTTCTTGAATCCTTCAAGGAATGGCACTTTAAGTCTTCGTGTTTGTCGTTGAAGCACTTTGATCTTGACTTGAATAAATTGTGTTTGTCAATTATCAAAACCTGTGAGTCAACACTTAACAACACAGAAAGTGTTGAACTCATGCATTCCAACATGGGCCAGCACAACTGTTTGGGTCCAATAGCCAAACTGCATTTTTGATCTCTTCGCGGGAAGGGAGTCTGCAAAGAGCAGTATTATGGGCGTGAGTGATAGTGCTTGGAATGTTTTAGAGGATATTTTCCATGTTGGTGGTGGGATGGTGGCTGTAGAGGTCTGCAAAAAAAATGAGTGGCTGCTTCCAGGACCTCTTTCTCATTGGAGATTAGGTTGCCGTGTTTGTTGAGGATGGAGTGAATATGTTGTTTTCGCCATCTTGCCCTACAAGCTGCATGGAAAAAAGAAGTGTTAGCATCACCTTGGGAGATGCATTTGGCGTTTGCTTTTTGTCTCCAATAGGCTTCTTCTATGTGGATACTCTTCAGAAGATGTGCTTTGGCTTCTCCCCAAATGGCACGTGACAGTGGTGAAGAAGTTTCCAAACGTGTCTTTGCTCCATTTGCTTAGACTTGTTTGGGTGGCTTTGAGTTTGAGATAGAGTCCATACATCCCTCTCCCCGTTTGGGTTGTCTCCCAAGTTGACTTGACAGTGGTGATGTAGGATGAGTGTGTGGTCAAGAGGTTGAGGAACCTGAAGGGTTTGGGTGTGTTGCGTGGTTGGGATGAGAATTGGAGGAGTATGGGGCTGTGATCTGAGGTTGTTTTGTTGAGGATAGAGTAATGGGTATGGGGGAAAATGTTGTCCGCTTTGTGGTTGATGAGGAAGCGGTCAAGTGTTCTAGATACCATCCCGTTGGATCTTTTTCCAGACCAAGTGAAGAGGGGGCCGTCATGGTGAGGTTGGGAAAGGTTACAGTCCAAGATGCAGGAATTGGAGTCCTCAATGCTTTGGTGGCATGGTGGCGCATTCCCTCTGTGTTCTGTTGGCCTAGGTATGCAATTGAAATCTCCTCCTAGTATCCATGGGAGGTCGTGGGAGGAGGAATGTGTTCTGAGAGAATTCCATAGAGGGAGGCGCGCTGTTCTAGAGTGTAATCCATATACTATGGAGAGCCATTTAGTGTTGGAGGTAATTAGGTGTGTGAACTGGCCATGGAGCACTTGATTTTGTTCATAGTGGTTAACAAGGGTGAAATGATTAGGGTCCCAAAGTAACCAAGCTTTGTTCGAGAGGCCATGAAGATGTTTGTTGAGATTGAGATTGTAACCAATGGATGTTAGTTGGGTTGAGGATACCATGGGCTCAAGGATTCCCAGGAGTTTAATATTATGAGTGTGAGACAGTTGATGAAGGCGTTCTTGGGAGGAAGGGATTCCTCTAACATTCCAAAAAAGAATCTTCATTAGTAAAGAGGAGAGTTTGGAGGTAGGGAGAGGGAAGCTTTCGCACGTAGTCTCGTAACCATGTTAGACCTGGGGGGAAGATGGGAAGTTTTGTTTCGTTTGGTGTTCTTGGCTGGTTGGAGTGGAGTAAGGTCAATGGTAATATCATCCTTTGGGTTTGGGGGCAATTTAGAGGCTATGGAAGTGCTGAGTTCTTGAGTGGAACAGGGCTTATATTGGGATCTCTTGGGGCTTCCTTCGTTGTCTGAGCAGTGTGCATAGTCCACGAAGGTTTTGGCTTCTGTGAAATTGAGGTCACAAATTGGGGGCCATTGAAGTTTAGCAGGAGCTGATTTAGGAGACATATTTTGAAGAAGTGTCATGTCCAAAGGGTCATGTGGGAGGGTGGTTTTCTCAGGGGGTTTGAGGTGAGGGGGTTGGGTAGGGTAGAGGTTCTTTGCTGATTGTTGCTTGGGTTCTTGGATTGAAGTGTTTATGGGGAGGTTGGCGGAAGGGAGTGGGGGATGGGGGCTGTGGGGGTTTTGTAGGGTAGTTGTTGCGATGAGTATATGGGAGGGTGGTTGTGGGGTTGGTGATTTGAGGGTTGTTTGGATTGTAGTTATTGGAAGAGTGGTGGTGGGTGCAGTACCTGTTTGGGGAGTTGTAGTGGGGGGCTTAGCTAGAGGAATTGGAGTTTTGCCCTTGGCCTTGGCACATTCCCTAGCTGTATGGCTTGACTTGTGACAATCAATGCAATACTGGGGCAGTTGTTCGTACGTGACTTGCTGCCACAGCCCTTTCCCACCGTTGTCCAAGAAGAACTTCGCCAGAAGTTCCTTGGTGACATCGAGTTCTACGCAGAACCTGGCGGCAGGTCTAGACTTTGAGGAGGTTGTTGCGTCCAACATGAGAGGTGTACCAAAAATCTTAGCTATTGCATGGAGAGCAAGAGGATCATGAAAATGGATTGGGAGATGCTCCAGCGTGATCCATACTGGAAAAATTGGGCTTTCCTCATCGCAGTGAAAATCCGGGCTCCATTTGAAGACATGCATGGGACAACCTTGAATTTGCCATATCCTTTTGGAGAAGCATCTTTGGTAGTCTTCAGCATTTGAAAAGGTAAGAAGGACGTGTGAGGGGGCCAAGACACCAACTGAGTAGCTACTCCTGAAGCCAATCCTTTCCAGGACCTGCCTAAGTATTGGGAGAGGGGGTCTGGATTTGGGGATTCTCCCTACAAGGGAGATTTCGTAGGGGGCAGAGAGGGATTTGATCTCCGAGGGGGTGAAGGAAATTGCCGGGTAACCTTTGTGTTTGGAGATAGTTTTGGAAGCTATGGATTGATGGGAGGTAGGAGGGAGGAGCCAATGACATCTGCAAAGGAACGCTTGATGTCATGGCGTGGGATTTGGATGGAGGAGTAGGGTGGCAGAGGGGCAATTCTGTCATACCGGATTTTCTTTGCTGCAATTGGTTAAATGGAGGTGGTTGGGAGCTGCTGGCTTTGGTTGCTGGATGAACGAGGGGAGGAGTTGAAGATGAAGGCTTGCTGTTGGGGGTGGATGAAACTAGAGTTGGTTTGGTGCCGGTGGATGTTGGTGTCACCGAAGTATGATCGGTGGAGGGAGGTGGTGGAGGGGCGGAAGGGACGGCAGAGAGAGGCGGAGGTAGGGGAAGAGGGAGAGAGGAGAGAGAAGTCATTTTTGTGTGTGTGTGTGTGTGCGCATTAATTATATTTGACAAACTTAATTATCATATAATTAAAATGTCCAAACGTATTTAATATATATAAACAAAGTAGATACGTAGAAACCATCGTTTTTACAAACGGAGCACCATAGGTACCCCAAACGAACTAGTGTAAGCAAATAACACCAGTAGCACTGGTGTCATTTTAGACTTACCGTGTGTGTGTGATGTATATATGTGTGTGTGTGTGTATATATATATATATATATACTTTTTGCGATATAAATATATATTTCTTGCGATGTGGAAGAGGAAACTTTTTCTTGCTATATATATAATGCAAGTATATATATATATATCTCTGTGTGTGTGTATGTGTGTGTGTGTGTGTGTGTGTGTATAAAATAATTGTTAGAAAAAGTACTTATATATATACATATTTACACAAGTGCAAGTTTTACATAGGTTTTTAGAGTCATTTCTTGAGAATTGAGTGTGTTCTTGATTTAAATTAGTTTACTCATATTCTACTCTTTGAGGGAGTTTTTGTTCTTGAGTGGTTAAGTGTTGTAAACACTTTAAGGGAGGTTTGTTCCCTTGGTTGTACGAAGGAAGGGTATATTCCTTCGGATTGAAGTCTTGGAGTGTGGTATCTCCAAGCAAGTGTATTGAGCCTCGTGGGACTCGAGTTGTCAGGTTGTTACGGTTTGTTAAGCACACGTAAGCTTAACGGAAGTAGTGTAGCTCGAGAGAGTTTCTCGAGAGACTGGACGTAGCCACACGTTGTGGTGCACTAGTGTATATCGGTGTGTTCTTTTCTTACGCTTTTTAATTCCGCTCTTTACTTTATCCCGTGCAATTTTTATTCCGCAAAAATTTATAAGCATTCTTGCGCCTCACTATTAACCCCCCTCTAGTGAAGGGCACTTATTCTAAAAGGTAGTTTATGAAGAGGGTGGCACGAGTAAAATTTTAGTCCACCTGACCTTATTGTACCCCCTTGTACGTGACATGCGTAACTTAGATAGCTTACAAACAATAACAATAAATTAAACAACTCCTAGAATGTGATGCGGAGGTAACCTCGGTACTCAAACTCCGTCGACCTGTGACCAAAATGAATCAAAGAATCCATAAGTGAGTGAAGCAGTCTACAGGTAGGCAGGCAGCTGGCTCAATAGAAACACAAAAATCATAAGTATCAGGTTTTAGAAAGAGTAAGAACACCCTGCTAGTATTCCAATCTAACACCATAATTGTACTATTGAACCAAAATTTATATTACAGTAAGTTCACATAGCAAGAAAAAGTTTATTTTTACCATCATCAATCTTAGGTAGTAACAATATCTACTTTGTTTTTTTTTCTCACATTGATCAGCATAAAAACATGGTACAAAAGCATGGCAGATAGAGCCTTAGAGCAGCTAGGGCCCTAAATTGCACGATGCTGCACGCCACCAGAAAGAAAAGACAATGTTATTACTGTGATTCTACACTAAATAGCACTAAAACTTAAGTCATTTTTCTAAAAAACACTTAAATTGTTTTATTCCCTAAATAGTACTTCAGAATGTCTTGAATAACTATTAATGGAAAATGACTAAAAGTACTATTTGGAAAAAAAAAAACACATGTGATGCTATTTAGGGAAAGTTGTTATGTTTTAGTGCTTTTTACATAAATTCACCGTGATTCTATTCCATCTAACTTATTCTCACTACCTCTCATTAAAAATCCCATAGATTTATGTAATTATCTAACTCATCATCTTAAAATTGAATTCAAAGTTATCCACAAATCTCAATCCAACCTTTGTCAAATTCAACCTAGGAAAAAAATTCACAAAAAAATCCAACAACCAGGGATTCTCTTCATCATCAAGATTCATCGATATGTCGATTTCAAAACAGAAAAAATTTAGAAAAAATTAACCTGTGGGCGCATAGGTTGAAGTCTTTACCTCGTGATTGAAGATATGTGCGCAAGTCGTCCGACGCCTCCTGGGATTGCATAATCTCAGTCTGGTGGTCTCGACCTATTTTCGCCCGTCGCTATGAAGAAAGAGAAAATGTGTCCGTGAACTGATTGGACATGCAGTGGATGCGAAAGGATAGAAAGACGAGTAATTTACCAAACATATGTAACAAAAAAATATTATTCCGGATAGCGTAAGTCAGACATTTTTTTTTTTTCGTGGCAGTGCATGATAGATTTGGCTACTCCGTTTCAACTTAAAAATTTCAAATGAAATGGAGTAGCCAAATTCATAACTTCGTCCCAATTAAAAAACAAAGCTTACCAATTATCTCCTTTCTCTCTTTAGTTTGCTCTCTTCTTCTTATCTCCTTTCTCTCTTTAGTTTTTATCTCCTTTTTTATTTAGTGTTTTTAGTTTTCTTTATGTTTTTTTAGTGATCTTTATGTCTTTTAGTTTTTAATACATTGAATTTTTTTATTTTCTTTTTTCACTTTAACCTTTTTAACACATTTATTTTAATTTAAAAAAATATACTCTGAATTATATTCCCTCCATCCCAAAAAGATCTATCCATTTCATTTTTTGCACATATCATAAAACAGTTTTATCTCATCTCAAATGCCAAAAAAAATTTAAAACAACTTCTACCTGCAATAAAGGGTAAATATGGTAAATTTTAAAAATTTTAGATATGCATAAGAGTGTTTTATGAGATGTGCAAAAAATGAAACGGGTAAATCAATATACTCCTACTTTGCATTCTCTCTCTCTAAAAATTATATTATTTCATACTCTCGGTGGTTTATCGCCATCAATATGTATGATAGCAATCTGGATATAATTTTCCTATGAATGGTGGAAACATATTAGAAAAAATGAAGTAAATAGATATGTTAATAATTTCTGTTATAATATGGACTATCGACCACAGAGACATCGCAACAAGGAATAGATATGTTATTTATTTCATTTATGTCTGAGTTTATGTATTATTAATTTCACAAAATAAAATTTTCATGGATTGTGTTTTGTAATTTTCCTTTTAGGAATAAATTATATGTATTCTAGCAATAAATTTATTACTTCCTCCGTCCTAAAACTTTCTTTCCGTTGCGCAAAACGAAGAAAAATCCCAAGTTTTTTCAATCTATTTTATTTAAATATTGGTATAGAAATAAAAAATAAAACATACATATTTAAAAACTACATCAAAAATTCAACAAAACAAGTGGTGACAAGAATATTTTATTTTATCATATAGGCAATGAAAAAACACAAATAAATATAAATTTCCGTGAAGTTGATTTTTTCAATTAAAATTAGTAAACTTTGTATTAATCTCAAATTAAATAAAAGTGATATTAATTACATATTGATATGATATAAAAATAATTTTATTAGATTTATTTTATAAATTAGTTTAAAAATATTATTTATCTAATTAATAGAAAATACATATTTTATTTAATTATAGTTTAAAGAGTGAAAATAATTGACTCAAAAATGACAAAACTCAACAAATACTCTGATCTGGGATAATATAAGGCCTTGAACGCATCCAATTCCTCTAGAGGCTCATACTTTTGACCGTATATGATGTATGTTAGCAGTACTGATCACAGAACTTGTTACTCAGTCTCCTGAATCTAATTCCTCCGTATACTCAGCTGATACTTTTGACCGCATAAGATGCTACTGGAACAGATAACTAAACTTGATTTATTAGCTTTTTCTTCCATTTAGTAACTTACTCATGCTTTTGACGGTATAAGATGTTTTGTTACTGTTACCTACACTAGCTTGTTACTTCAATGTATCCAATTCTGATCCTCCAGATATACTCTTACTTTTGACAGTATAAGATACATGTAATAAGTACTAATAACTGAACTTGTTACTCGATCTCTTGAATCAAATTCATCCGAATACGTACTCATACTTTTGACTGTATAAGATTTTAGCGGTATGGATAACTGAACTTGATTTATTACCTTGTTCTTCTAGTTATTAGTTACTCATGCTATATATCATTACTGAGAACTAAACTTGTTACTCTCCTGAATCTAAGATGTTACCATATTGTTGAATATTGATGTTACCATACTTATTATTTTGATTGTATAAGATGTTACCATATACGGTCATCGTAAGGTGTCATCTATCTTGAGTCGATCCATATAAATAAATAAATATATATATATATATATATATATATATATATATATATATATATATATATATATATATATATATATATATATATATATATATATATTTGCAAAAAAAATATTATTTTTCTGAGAGTTCACTTGTTAAGAGGCTACATATAACTATATAAGTAGAATAAAAAGATAAGCGCAGCCAAACGAGGCTTAACGGCATAACCTCCATACATTATTATTATTTTTTATAATATTGATATCACAAAAAAGGTTGAACAATAATAATATTAATATTAATATTAATATTAATATTAATATTAATATTAATATTAATATTAATATTAATACTAATATTAATATTAATATTGATAATAGCAGGTACACCTTCATATATCCCAGACAAAGCTCTGTGGCTATTGGAGAAATGGACCAAAAACAGACATAACTTCTTCGTAAACCAGCTTCTTGAAATCCACCGCTCGATCAACAACTTGTTCAGGTGACATCCAAGACCACTCTCCGAATTCGGCCTTCTCAGTCCCATCACCCAAAAGATTGACTTCCTCCTCCTTTCCAATAAACTTGAAGAGGAACCATTTCTGTGCTTGGCCTTTCTAGTCAGAACCCCATTGCTGCTTAAGCTTTTCCCTGACGTGTGGTGGGAAATCGTATGCCATCCAGTGAGGAGCCTCAGCAATGATTTTTGCAGAGGTGACTCCTGTTTCTTCTCTTAATTCTCGGATGGCAGCATCTCTTGGATTTTCATTCTCATCAACGCCACCCTGAGGCATTTGCCAGGCATTTGGCATGTCAAGCCTCGAAGCTGCAAAAATCTTTTTGGCAGTAGGGTTCATGAGACAAATGCCAACGTTTCTACAGTAACCCTCGGGCGGATTGTCCATGGAAGACGACGACAATAGCGCAGAGAACGAAGCTAGCGAGCGTCTATGGCGGAGTGGCAACGCTGTAAATAAGGAGAAATTCGGAAGTGGGTGAGAAGAAATGGCGATTTTGTGCGGCAGATGGCGGCGAGGGACTGTCGAGCTTATGATATATATATATATATATATATATATATATATATATATATATATATATATATATATAAAGAAAAGCTTTTATTAATAGAGAGAAAAGAAACAAGGAAAAGTACAAAGGGAAGAAAACAAGCTAAACAATACAACGCAAATTTCTTCCGGTCCTCCAAAAGTGATCAAGTCCCCATCCATTGAAATCTTTATCATGAATCAACCATTTCTTGCTCATGTTCACCCAACACCAGCTTTGAAATTGTTTGAAGCATTGTTGGATCACCCCCTCCTTGGTGCTGTTCTATTCTTCAAAAATGTGTAGGTTCCGAGCCTTCCATATGGTCCAAGTGATGATGCCAGGGATAATAAGTCTGAAATTGCCCTTGAAGGTTTTAGCTTCGCCTGATTTCCACCAAGTAATTAGGTGTTGCCTGAGGGATAGAACATTCAAATGCAAGGGACCAGATGCCAAGTCCGTGAAGTAATTCCAAATGCCTTTACTGAATTCGCAGTTGAGGAGAGTATGGTCTAGAACATATTCATGGGAAAGGCAAAAGGGACATCTATTTGGGCCCTATAGTTGGAACCTCCTTAAGTTGACAGGGAAGGGAAGATTTGCATCAAGACAGCGCCACATGAACATTTGGATTTTAAGAATTTGAGATTTGTGCCAAATGAACCTTGAGGTAAACAGCTTCGTGATCCCTTCAATCCTAGCAGTAAATGCTTGTTTGAGAGAGAAGAAGCCCTTATACCACCTCATATTTCCTTTCTCTCTAGTAGTATGTGAGGCACAGTGGGCATGAATCCTGCAAATTCTCTTCCAAGTTGGGGAATCCTGCAAACCAGCCCGCCCTTCAAATATTTTGCTCTCATGTATTCTGGCCACAGGCTATCCTCATTGTGGATTCTCCACCATAGTTTAGATAAATAGTTGTGTTTTGCTGCACCAGGAAGAGAGGTGTTTGTCAAAGTGGTCCAGCAGTGCTTGACAATGTTCTTTTCTAAGAATTCCTTTACTCAAAGTGCCCCCCAAATAGGTGAAGGGTAAAGTACCACATTTCATGCCAAGAACCTTCTCCATATTCAGGATTTGAGAGTGAGTGGTGTTCTTACCAGTATAGAACCTACTCTTGGACAGGTTGACCTCTTGTCCAGAAGCTTGGAGATATTGGCTTAGGATATGCTTGAGTTTGAGAAGGTTCCTTGAATCACCTTTTGTGAAGATCATGAGGTCATCTGCATAGGCAAGGTGCCCAACCCACTTTATGGATCCAACATTGAATCTGCTGATGAAATTGTGGTCCAAGTGGTGATTGAGGAGTCTGCTAAAGCCTTCACCCCCAATGATAAAGAGAAGTGGGGAAAGGGGATCACCTTGTTTCACCCCTCTTGTCATTTGGAAAAAACCAGTAGGTTCTCCATTAAGGAGAATGGAGAGAAAGGTTGATCTAAGACTGACCATGAGAAGAGTGACTGATTTGCTGGAGAAACCAAAGCCATCCAGAACTGCCTCCAAGTAGTTCTAGTCCATCCTGTCAAAAGCTTTGGCCATGTCAATTTTGATGATAGTGTTGCCCCTAAAAACTTTTCTGTCCATTTGGTGAATGGCCTCCTTTGCCATGAGAATATGGTCATCCAGAAATTTGCCTTTCTGAAAGGCGCTTTGTTCCTTGGAAATGATTTTGGGAAGAAGGATTTTCAACCCGTTGGCAAGGATTTTGGTATTGATTTTGCTCATGAAAGTAGAAAGGGATATTGGCCTAAAGTCATTAAAGGATCTTGGGTCATCCTTCTTGGGTATAAGGGTGAGGAAAGTGCTCCCATAAGCCTTGGGGATGGGAAGGCCCTTGAAGAATTCCAGGCTTGCTTTAAGAACATCTTCCTTGATGATATCCCAAGAGGCCTTTAAAAAATTCTCATTGAAGCCATCCGGTCCACTAGCACTGTCACCATCCATCTGCCAAATGGTGCTTCTGACTTCTTCCATATCAGGGAGAGCAGTAAGTAAATCATTATCTAGGTCACTGATAGTTTGAGGGATGTAAGGAAAAATGAGGTTTGGAGCTGAAGAGTGGTCAGCTGAGAATTGATCCTTGAAGAAGCTGATGGCTTCCTCACTGATTGCCTCTTTGGTATGAAGGCCTTTCTCTTTCCTGGAAATAATGTGATTGATGGCTAGTTTCTTCTGTTTCCCTTTGGAATAGGTTTGGAATAATTTTGAATTGGAATCACCTTTATCTAGCCATTTGATGTGCACTTTTTGTTTCCAAAATTCTACCTCAATATTGGTTGCATGAATAAGCTGTGCGTTGGCTAGTTAAGCAGCTTCTCTGTTGGCATGTGTAGGGGAGTTCTCATAGGTAGTCTGAGTAATGATAGCTTCTTCCTCATCTGATTTCAACCTCACAGAAATGTTCCCAAACTCCTTTGTGTTCCAGTCTCTAAGGGCTTTCTTTAGGTCTTGAAGTTTGGACACTAGCCCTCTCATCCCACCAAAAGTAGGGCTCTTTGCCCAAGCATCCTTAACCACCTTAAGGAAATGGTCATGATGGATCCAGGAGTTAATAAATCTGAATGGCCTTGCTCCTTGAATATCATGATGTTTGCACTGAAGTACAAGGGCCTTATGGTCAGAGTTGTTTTTAGGGAGATGAGCCAGCTCCACCTCTGAGTAAAAAGCTAGCATGTCAAGGTTAACCACTACTCTATCAAGACGTCTCCAAGTCCTACCTTGGCTTCTGACTCCTGTCCAGGTGAATAAACCCCCTGTGGGATCCAGGCTGGTAAGTTTGCAATTTGTGATACAGGCTTAGAATTCCTCCATGCTTTGGGAGGTGGGTGTGCATTTCCCTTTACATTACAGTGGAGAGGTGATCGCATTAAAGTCTCCTCCAACAATCCACCTTTTATCAGGGCAGAAAGATTGGAGCTGGCTCCATAGTTCTCTTCGACCATCAAAGGTGTGAGCACCATATACACATGAAATAGCCAATGGGGAGTTGTCTTGTGGGAGGACAAATTCACAGTGGGTGACCTGTGGCTCATCAAAACTATTAATGAGAGAAAAGGTTGCATTATTCCAGAAGATCCAGCGCTTGTTGTTTGTGGAGGAGATATAATTAGAGAAGCCCAACTTGATTCTATAGCTATCCAGGTTTCAGATTTTAACAATAGGTTCAATAATACAAATGAAATCTAAATGGCGAGTCCTCTTCAAGTGAATAAGTGTGTTGAGTGAAGAGGCCACTCCACAAACATTCTAGAAAAGAAGCTTCATAAAAAAGGGTTGGGGGAACTCCCTTATGTTTCATACCTCTCGTTGTCACACCTAGGGGTGGCAGTGGTTTTTTGGGTTTAGAGTACTTTTGTAAGGGCATGGATTGAAAAGGAAGGTTGCCAATCATGTCCATAGGTTCCGAACTCGAGGAATCAAAAGGACAGTCTCCTTCACCACCATGAGAGTGACAGTAATACGAGGGATTAGCTCCAATATTGAGATTTTCTGGATCAAAATGCGTTTCAATCCAGGAGTCATCCAGGTTGCCCAAGAGAGGTATTGGTTCAGGATCAGAGGCCACATCTACCACCTTTGTTGGGACGAAAGGGACGATTGCCATGCATGAAGAAGGAACTGAAACCTCTAGGTAAGAGAGGTCAGGGTAAGGATTAGGGTTTTCAACCTCCTAGTGCTGACGTGGCCTACTGCTGGGGCACTCATTTCTCAAAAGATCCTCCTCACTATCCACGTCATCTTCCACAATGGGCATAAGAAGAGACCAAGGGAGTTTTGAAATACTCCCCCCCCTCCCTAGGTTTAAAATTATTATGAAGTGCCCTAACATGGTGTTTGTCCTTAGGCTGTTGTTTTACCTCATGATTACTGGCCACTCCAACCGGGGTTACAACCTGCCAGACAGGCTTTGGGCCCTCACCACCACTAGAAATATGCCTTCCATGTCTTCTCCCCTTTACCATATGCCAATCCATGGAATCCTGGCCCCTCTCCTGATGAGCTCTTAGAACTTTTCCTTTACCGGCCGGAGCCTTTCCAGAAAGGGCTTTAGGAGATTTTGTCCGGCAAGATTTGTTGGAGTGGTCGAATCTAGAACAGGCGCCGCAGTAGGAGGGAGAGAAATCATAATTGCATGGGAGCTATAAATCTCTTCCTCCCAGTCTAACATGCAGCTTTGGAGGTTTAGAAATCATAATTGCATGGGAGCTATAAATCTCCACCAAAAATATTGCAGTACCCGGTTTAACTCCAATGATCGTCTTTGCATCTAGTTTGATAGGACGCCCCAACGTGGACGCCAAAGCAAAAAGAGCTTTGTGGTCATTTAGGTGGAGAAGGAGGTTGGATATTTCAACCCAAATTGGCGTGATTGGGGAGTCCTTGGAAGCAGTGTGTTGTGGTGTCCATTTGCAGATCGTAATTGATTGACCCAGAATATTCCATCTTCTTCGTAGGAACCATCTTTGATAATCATCCTCTTGTTTGAAGATGAATAGGATTTCATGAGAGTTGAGTCTTCTGAGCTTGAACTCTTTGAAGCCACCCTTAATGAGGAAATGTTCCACTACTGCAAGTCAGATTTTTCCAGAGGTGTGTCCCACCAGAGCCCTATTGAATTTCCCAACAAGTACATTTTCTTCCTCCAGGGAGAAACAGATGGATGGAGCACCCTTATAAAATCCGTTCACCTGACCCGGGATACCTTCGAAGTCACCTTTGAAAAGGTCTGAGAATAACGTCTTGCAACGGAGATGATGGTGGCTTTGAATTTTCCCAGCCGGAGCTCTGGTCGCTGGAAAACTAGAGAGAGAAGGGGCACACACACACACACACATATATATAAGAGTTCCATATTTTTATTCCAACTATATTTAAATTGGGTGAACTTTGAGATTAAATTATGTTAAATTAACTAATTAAACTTTAGTACATAATTATATTTCATTATACTAATTAACATATGACATACAAATTGTTACTCCCTCCATCCCATTTGAATCTTTCTGGTCCGCATTATGATGCATGACCAACTTTATATGCAATTCAATTTTTTTGATTGTAGTTGTAAAATTAAAATATAAAAATTGTATATTTAAAAACTACATCAAAAGATCTACAAAACTAGATTTGACAAGATTATTTTATCAAATGGGTAAAGAAAATAAAGAAACAAAGTATTTAAAATTTGACCATGTGAATTGTATACGAAAAGATTCAAGTGGGATGAAGGGAGTAGTACTAAGTTAGTAATTGTGATAGCAAATTCAATTTCCTCTCATTTTGGCCAGCCCTCCTTACCTTTCTGTAAGTTTTTGATGAAAAACTTAAAAATTCCCTCTCAAATTTTGATAGCAAATTCATTTCCTTCTCATTTTCTCAACAGAAATTAAAACCGAGTAAGTATCGCGCCGTTTTAATCTACAATCGACACTTTTCCAGATCAACTCTCCACTCTCTTGTACAGATCCTTCTTCATTCACTCTTCACCACCGCCAGCTTCAACCACTATTCACCTCAGCCACCTTCAACCACTCTTTACCTCCGCCACATATTCTTTCCACACACTCTTCAACGAGGCTTCGTGGGGTGCATGACCAAACATTTCCGGAAGTTTTAAGCAATCCATCTAGGTTTGAACCCTAAAAATTATTCCACTAAGAGATCTAATTGTTTGCTGGTTTTTCTTGAGCTGTGTTTTCCCGTTAGGATCATAAACCCTAGTTTGAGTTTCATACTGGCGATGGCACGCTTGTGCATGCAAGTGAATGCAATTGAATACACTCTCCAAAATACAATCTTAAACACAAGTGTGTCTAGGTCGTATATACTGACTTTGGGTACTTCTTTTGTGTGAAGTGTATTTGTTAAAGATCGTGTTTTGGTGTTTTGTTTGATGCACAATTTACGTCCTAAGTTGGCACTTAGCGTCTAGGTGGTATGTACTGACTTTGGTTACTTTTGTTACAAGTGTATTTGTTAAAGATTGTGTTTTGGTAGAGTGTATTATTTTATTTCTCTGTATCAAATGTAAGACATTAGAAATAAATGTTCGAATTTTTTCTATGATACAGTGACAATTGTGACTCAAAAACATGCAAATTATGACTCCCATGCCAAGACACTTAGTACCTGGTCTTCTCCACAATTCGATAAAGGACGACCCCAGTCTTCTCCACAGTTTGATAAAGCTCAACCTCGCTCAATCTTCTCCACAACTTAAAAACATGAATCCAATACATGTTATAGACCAAGCTCTTTAAGTTTGGCGAAGGCAATCAGTGGTAGGAGGACACGGCACGTGAGGAGCCATTCATCTCCCCCACAAGTCACACTCAAGAAGCCTAAGACAAAGCCTATTTTGGATAACTTACAAAAGAAGATTTCTAATAATAGAAAGCGAGTTGAAAATGAAAAAAAGAGTTTGGTCTTGGACAACGGGGATAGAGTAAAGCTTATGAAATGTGGGTGTGTTCCAATGTGCCGAGTTATTAACGCAAGATCAATGGTCAGAAACCAATGGTTTTATTTAATGCTAATGGATAACCATATGGTATGGCTTCTATAGAAAAAGAATCTTATATTGGAGTTTTAGCCAGGACTAAAGCTCTGATATGGTATGATAATTGGAAACAAGTTCCTGAATCAACCAAGAACAAGATTTGGAAGTGTTTAACGGTAAGAAACAATCTCACCTGATTAATCTTTGCAAAAGAAACGCACTCAATACTTTTATATGCCATTTTAGCCCCAACATATATTAACACTTTCAATTTTCTTTTATGTTTATGCATATAGTTGGGGTTCGAGGTACCCACAACACCAAGGAAAGTTGTGTTGTAGTTAGAAAATTATATGTGAAAGCAATTCAAAAGCTGGCTAAGAACTAAATATATTCTTCCATTTCGACATGAACCACAAAGGCTGGTTTCTCCACCAGCTGACTTCTCAATCATAGAGAAGAACCATTGGGATATCTTGATACGGGATTTATTATTATTATTATTAATGGTTAGTGGTTATTATTATTATATAAGGTAGTATCATTATTTATGGTTAGTTAATTATATTATTATTAGAAAGTAGTATAGTGTTGTTAGGATATTTGTTACCCTTTATAATTAGGATTCCTAGATTATTTAGTTTCCTTCTATGGTAAGGAATTTTTAGATGTCCTAGCTATAAATGTATCCATTTCAATGAATTATTAATCAATGAATAAAGAAAATACTTTCTCCTAAACCTTAATCTCTCTATTTCTTGCCTCTTTTGTTCTTGGAGCTCGAAGGTGCTCGAAATCCTTCCCTATCCCGATATGATACCGTATCATTTGGTGCTTTCATTCTTGAACTCATTAAAAAAAATTATACAAAAAAAATCGGCCACAAAATTCAATTCAACTTTTGTGTGGTGGTGTTTATTTTGGCAATGGATTCTCTGTTGGACAAAGTTCTTGGTTTACTCGAGAAAGTCCTACAGGGACAAATTGAATTCTATGAAGGTGTGTGTGCAGTTTAAGATTCCGTGGATGAAATTATAAACAAACTTCAGGCATTCCGTCAAATTGAAGGTCAACCAAAATATGATTCCGAGGTATATGCTTTTGTCGTAGAGGTCTCTTGCTCAATCCAAGATTTAGTTCGTGGTCCCCCAATTTTACCAAGTTTGATCCGATTGAGTTACACTTGTTCAAAAAAAATGATGGGTGTGATAAATAAACTCATCGGTTCTCCACTTTCTTCACCAAATCTAGCCCCTAAGGCTGGGAACCTGATTGTTCAGATCGTGGAAGACACAGCCGCACACACTGGTTCTCTTGTGGAAAATTTAAGCAATGAACCACATGTCGAAGATGACATGAAAAGTGGGTCCAATGTCCTGGGTACCAATAAGTCACTCACGATGGAGGAAATTGTTGTTCATCCGGTAGGTATTTCCGATGATGCTTTTGTTATTGTTACTGATCTTGTTCCTACAGACGATGTTGATGAGGATAACCACCACCAAGACCGCGAGGAAGTTTTTGGGGACAATCTGATTGTTTATGGATTCACAGAAAGCTTTTTATTGCCTGATGCTGAGGTTATTGTTATTTTTTAATAAGGAAGTATTGCACCCGGTTGCATTCTTTTCATCGAGTTGATCGCATGCAATTATTTAACTCGTGTTGGACATGTTGTAGGTCCAACACGTTCTTTTGAGGCTCCAATAATGAAGGTGTTTGACCTCGGAGGATGGACGATGAATGACACACTTTTTTCCCCGTTCTTTGTTGAATTTCCAACTTGAGGACAAGTTGGTTTTTGAGGCAGGGAGAGTGATACGGGATTTATTATTATTATTAATGGTTAGTGGTTATTATTATCATATAAGTTAGTATCATTATTTATGGTTATTTAATTATATTATTATTAGAAAGTAGTATAGTATTGTTAGGATATTTGTTACCATTTATAATTAGGATTCCTAGATTATTTAGTTTCCTTCTATGGTAAGGATTCTTTAGATGTCCTAGCTATAAATGTATCCATTTCAATAAATTATTAATCAATGAATAAAGAAAATACTTTCTCCTAAACCTTAATCTCTCTCTCTTTCTCGCCTCTTTTGTTCTTAGAGTTTGAAGGTGCTTGAAATCCTTCCCTATCCCGATACGATACCGTATCATATCTTTGTAGTTGATCGTCTAAGCACGCACTTCTTTGTAAGACTATGCCTTACATTTTGTAATGCTATAGAGATTATGTTTTGTTCATGAATTTTAATTTGGTGCCCTTTTACTGTAGAGAATCCATGAAGCACACAAGAAAAGAATTAAGGAAAACAAATATCCTCATCTCCTATCGAGGAAAGGTTATGCAAACATGGAAATGGAATTGGTTAGTAATCACTAATTTACTACTTATTAGTGTCAAAAGTATTCATCTTCATAATTATGAACATATTTTTAAAATTCAGAGTTATTTTTATTCTGACATTTTTATGTGACTCACAACATGTGCATGCAGTCGGAAAAACACAGTGAAGAGGAGTCGGAATTAGATCGGTCGATAGCGTGTGTCCTTGCAAGGAAGGACAAGCATGGACATTTTAAATTTGAAAGTACAAAAAGGCTAATGAAATTGTAAGTAGGTTTCAATTCATTTATGGAAATGTAATTTTGTAAATATCACTCACCTCATATTCAGCATGAATAATTTATTTATATCTTTTTCTTTGTTGATTATTTTAGTGATTAATTTTGGAATATTTTTCAAGAATCCTTAACGCAACAAGTCTCTCGTGATGAACTAACTGTAGAAGGTGATGATGATGTATTGACAAAGGCTCTTGGTAAACCAGAGCATGGAGGCAAAGTTCACGGACAAGGAATGCATGTTAGGAAGTTTGTGTACTTCAATCTTTCAAGGGGAAAGAAGAAAAAATGTGTTGAAGCTGAATAAAGCAAGGGGTTAGGCAACTTCTAGCAGAAGAGATGGATAACATTATAGTCTCAAGAGATGCTTTTTGGATGGATGAAATTCAGAAGATCAAAACAAAATTTTTGAGAAAGCCATTAGGTAGTCCTACTGATCACCCTTGTCAACAAGCATGTTGCTCACACTTTTTCAAGGAAGGTGAGACAAATGGGCTTTCATTAAGGAAGAATTTGAGTGTTCAGTTTGAGAAGAATTTGGATGATTTGCCTGATGTTGTTTAAGGAGATAACAAAGAGAATGATGTTAAAGAAATTGATTTTGATAAGCATGATGTAGGACAAAAAAAATTGAGAGCAGAGATAAAGAAGATGATATAGTTTGTGGGGAAGTCCAACTCGGACAGCTTGCTATATGTTCTATCGATAACATCGTTGCGTAAGCAAAGGTGTATCAATTCCTTGATATAGAAAGTCATAAGCCCTCTCTATAAAGAGCAAAGCTTTAGAAATAGCATGTGAAAGTGGCTATTACAGAAGCATTTCAAGGTTTTCATTTACAACTTATAAGTTTTTTAAATTTATAATTTATAAAGTACAAAACCTTACTATTATTAATGTTTTCCGTCTTTGAACATTTGTAGATGTCAAAATTCCAGTCCCAATCGATGATGAAGTTGTCACTGTACAACAAGCGATTAACACATTTGTAGCATGGCCTAAGGAGTTCGTAGTGATAGATGTGGAGCTGCCCACAATGGTAAATGTTTATCTAGTTTTAGCTTTGTTTAATTGTTGTTCATCTAACTATATTCCTATCTAATTTTTCATAGAGCATTAAAAGAAGTGTCCCAAAGAAAAATGCTGGCAAGAAAATGAAAAAGCTAGTTCGCACAAGCAATGAAGATTACGAAGAGGAGTTTCATGTTGAATTTGGTCCTAAATATCCATTTCCCTTGAAACACTTATGGTTGTGGGAAAAGGACGCCTTAGCTGATGACAGATCAATTTCTTTTCAACTTAGTGAGGAGGCTTTTGCAATTGAAAAGAAGCTGTTAGTTTTCCTCTCTGACATACATGCTCTATGCAGCGGGGGTGATATAGCAGGAAGTATAATTACAATATATCTCTAGTAAGTGTCATTTTCATAGTTTTTACCTAATTAATAGCCTTATATTATATTAAATATTGTTTAAGATAAGTACCAATCACGTAATTCTGAATGTAGTTGCCTGTACGAGTATGTGAAAAAATATAGAATGTTGGAAACCTTAGCCTTTGTGGATCCTGGCTTGATAGGAAGCCTAGGATGTGGGAACTCCGGGCAGCGATCACGCAACCTAGCAGATTGGTTTATGGCGGCTACTGATGGACAATACTTTATCGTGCCATCGAGTGAGGACAGTGTAGTTGTATATATCGGCAAACTTGTTGACTTTTGTGTTCAAGTCACGATATTTGGATGGGATGGCATCAGTGAGGCGGTAGGGCTCTGCGTTCATAATAGTGTGGAATTGAGTAGTGCTCCTAATCTAGAAGTCGTCCGCATTTTGGATTTTCCCTACTTGGCAAAGAAAAACTAATTATAAGTACAAAAAATATTAAGTAAAACTGTAAGTAAAAAAGTACTCCGTAACATCTAATCTGGTCTTCAAAATTGTTCACTCACGCCCGGCCAACGCTTCCTCATTCATCGTCGTCATGGCTAGCTTGCTTTGCCCCCGACTCGTCGACCCTTCATTGAGCACGACCTTCCCTTTGGATTCTCAGGTAGGCTGCATTTCGGGAATGCTCTAAACATCGTTCACCACGATGGATGTCAATCTTGCCTTTTTCGGAACTTGTTGAGAATCTGTTAAAAATTAGCATTGCCACTCGAAGAATTAGAAATAGTTAGGATCCATAATATGATTTTGAAAATATTTAGAGAGATGAGAAGAATTTCTATATGCAATAGGTTGAGAGAAAGTGTAATTTTCAAAAGGGGTGAGGGGGGTTTAAATAAAGGATTGAAAAAAATACTTTCTCCGTCCCATAAAGACGTTCCCATTTTGAATTTTGGGAAATTGAAGGGAGGGATATTTTTGTGTTAACTTTCCAAAAATATTCTTGATATGATGGTTAAAAGTATGATGTGATGGGTAGATTATTACTCCCTCCATCCCACAAAACCTTTTTAGCTTTGACTTTTAAAGGATTTAAAGGGAGTTATTTTGGTGTTGACTTTCCAAAAATACCCTTGGATGTGATGGATAAAAGTAGATGTGCTTGGTAGATTAATAGTGAAAAAGTATAATGTAATATGTCGGATAATAATTAGTAGGAGTAAAAGCAACTTTTTAATATAAATTAGAAAGGTTTTTTGGAACGGATGAAAAAAGAAAGCAGAAAGGTTCTCTGTGACAGAGAAAGTAGTAAAAATCTATGATGTGTTAGGTAGGATAAGAATTAGTATGGTAATAGTGGTTTTTTATAAGAAATAGGAAAGACGTTGTGGGACAAGAAAAAAAGTAATGAGAAGGAGTTTTTGAGACAGAGGGAGTAATATTTTAAAAACCTAGCCATTGAAACAAGGCTAAAATCCACCATTGGTCCTTCAACTTTATGAGTTGTGCAGCACGATTAGTCTTTCAAATTTCAAAAGTCCATGATTAGTCTTTCAACTTTATGAGTTGTGCACGTTTGATATTTCAAGTTTCAAAAGTCCATAAGTAGTTTTTCAAGTACACGGTAATCCTCTAGATGAGATCCTTTTGACAATAAACATGAAAATTTAAATGGAATACTAGTTCCATATAATACGAGTAAATTCCACTAGGTACGACTACTCTGTATTATTCGGAGCTAGTACTCTATTTAGCTTTTGAAGTTTACCGCCAAAAGGATTTCATTTGGAGGACTGACGTGTATTTGAAAAACTACATACAGACTTTTTAAGCTTGAATGATCAATCGGGCACAACTCATAAAGTGGAAGACATATTTACGGACTTTTGAAACTTGAAGAACCAATCGTGCACAACTCATAAAGTTGAAAGATCAATAGAGGAGTTTAGCCTTGAAACAATTAGTTTGGAGGATGGTCAGCGCGTGATGAGGGTTATGGGCATCACCTCCATCATCGTCACCATAGAGGGGTGCACTGTTTTACGCTGAAATGGAGGCCCATGCATGTGGCTCTAGATGGCCATCTGAGCTCACCACACCCCACGATCTTATTCTTGCATTGGAAAAGAACGGATCAACTCAACATCAGAACATTTCGGGACATACGGTTAGGGTGTTTTCCATATTTGGCTAATCGGACAGAGTAAATGCTGAGACTAAAAACCACAAATAATTTCACAAGACCATGCTCTATGCATAGTTGAATTCACACATTCACACCAAATGTTTACATAAGTAAAATATTCTACTTGCATTTTTAAAACGTGTACCCATTGACAGCAAGAAAACACAACTAGTGGTATTTTCTACCTGCAATTTTAAAACGTGTACCAATTGACAGCCAGAAAGGACAACTAATGCTATTTCCTTCCAACCATGCAACTTCTAAGCCAAGGAGTGCACCCCATATTTTCTATACACCAAATATGTGCACCGCCACTTTGGAGGTTCATACTAGCACACAATGTTTTTGTACTACCATTATGTGCTAGTCTAAAAAATCAAAATGACGGTGCACACCTGTGGTGTTCAAATAGTGGTACATTGCTTGGTGTAAAAGTAGCTTTATTCCTTTCCTTTTGCTTTTTTACTTTCAGGCGAACCCATGCAAGGCCTTTAGAACAACTCCAAGGAAATCTTCATGGGCAGTGAGCTGAGGGAAATGGCCTTCGGCATTGAGAATCTCTAGCGTTGATTCTCCCTTGATCTTATTCATCATGAAGAGGGGTACCGATGCGGGAACCACAAAATCACGCACGCAGGTTACTAAGGTACAAGGAGTGGTAACCTTTTCAAGAACGCTCCTATGGTCGCTCAAGAACACGGTTTTCGCCAACGGATATCCGATCTCCACCCCCATTCTCAGCAAGCATTTGGTGAATTTTTGGACCGAGTGCGGGTCGATTGGGTCCACGGCCAGGGATGCAAATTTGGAACTCCATTCCTCGAAGTCTGCTTCAATGTTTTTGAACATATGTTCAACGTCTGATTTCTCAAAACCCCCTTCGTAGTCTTCCCCATTTATGAACCTGCCAAACAATAAGTAATTAAAGATTAGCAATACACAAAAGGACGTACGTGTTCCAACTTCAACTATTCTTCATGTTTTCCCACCATTAAAACAAAACAATTAAAAGTGATAATAATAATAATAATAATAATAATAATTACTTATAATAATAATAATAAATTTTAGAATAATAATAATACTCTCTCCGTCCCAAAAAAATCAGTTTAAAGAAAGGTGCGCCTTAAAAATGCAAAAGATGCTTTAATCTTTTATGCGCATAGTGCACGATGTATTTTGCCAAAAAATTGCCAAAGGGGGAGATTGTTGGTTCCATAGTGTTGGCTAATCTTTTGGCAAAATAGAATCCCATATGTGATAGATGTTTTACTAGGTAGAAACCTCTATTTGTTAAGAGAGGTTTATTTTATTTAGACTTCTAGAGCTGCTGCAGTTTTCGAGGTTGACGCAGAAGATGCTACAGCACGATGCTGCAACACACTGTTCGGGATCTGAGGTCTGAGCACGGGATTTTAAGCTGCAATCTCAATTAGAGACCTATTGGGATTGTGATTACATGATAAGAACTCCAGCTGTACTTGTGAAGGAATCCCAACTCTTTAGGCTATTTGTGGATCAAGATTAAGGAAGTAGAATTCAAGCCAACTTCTACTATCCTATTCCTACTAGGATTGTGTTAAGAGAAGCCTATAAATATGCAGCAGGTCCCTGGGAATTACTTGGAGCGATTGAGAGGGAAAACAACGAATAGGCGCTGATGTAGAGCATTCCCGTCGCGTCCCGGAGCTTCCCGTGCGTGAAGAAGGTCACGATCTACATGAAGGAGGAGATCTTCAACGCCGAACAGATCGTGACAACTAGGAGATGAACCAGAGCTTAAGGAGAGGGCTGCCAACACGTTTGTCTTCGTGATCTCGGTGGAGATGTGATAGCCGAAGCGGATCTGAACAGAGTTCGGGTTAGAAATTCTAGATTAGAAGTTTTGTCATAACAATTCGGAGAAGTGTGTCTCATCATGTTGTTATGTACCGGTGTAACTTGCATCTAGTGATTTAGTGGAGGGCTATTACACGAACGTGGGCCCCGCAGACTAGGAGAGTTTCTCCGAACTGCGTAAACATATCTGGTGTCATTTTTTACGCTTTTTACAGTTACAGCATTCTGCCCAGTAGGCGCTGTAACACTCTCTGCGTCATCTGCTTATGTGTGTGCTTGTGAAAGAGAAGTGCTATAGGAGACTGTCCGTCATCTGTTACTGGACAGAGCTGCAGCGTCTTCTCTGCAGCATAGTGGATTGATTTGTTTGCATAGCTCTTAATTGGTGATTTCCGCTGCGTCCCCACGGACTTTCAAAAAATATGTAATTTTGATGTTATTTTCTAATTATGACTCATCTATCATAGACATCATACCATACGTCATTATGAAGTAAGAGTAAAAGTTAAAAAAGAAGTTCTCCTCCGTGATAGAATATTTAGGATGGGGTAGAGATAATTGACTTGAGCCATGAGACACTTGAGTTGAAACACATTTGAATCCAATCAACTATTTAGTTTAACTGAAGAACTTATAAACTGATTTGTTTTATCTTCAAGGTCCAATGTGGATTATTTTTACACTCCCCCCCAAAACTACCGGACCATTTTGAATCTGATCAGTTGACCACTTGTAAATGGACTCCAATCCCCTAGATTTTTTTAGCCCCAACACCTAAAGAACTCCAAGCCGTTGGGTAAGGACTTCTAGACAAGCAATCTAGTTAAACATGCCATAGGCGAAAGAATATACATTCCACATGGACAACTAGCTAAAAACTAGTGCGGCTAGGAATAAATATCTTGCAAACACCTTAACAAATGAGGTAAGTTAAAACTGATCTTATACCGTGATAGAATTTTTAAGATATGGTAGGGATCATTGAATTAGACCATAAGACACTTGAGTTGATTCACATTAAATTCAATTAATTACTTAGTTTAAGTGAAAAAATTATATACTGAATTTGTTATTGATAATAAATTTATATGATAACTGAATACAATTTTTTCATATTCCATATTCCCTCCGTTCGACAATGTTTTTCCCATTTTTTTTGGCTCATTCGAAAATATTCTTCTCATTTCCGTTTTTAATATACCTTTCCTTTTAAAGATAAATTTCAATAATATCCTTCTATTTTATCATTAATATAATTTTTTTATTTCTTTTTTAATAAGAAAATGAGATTTAAAAATTTATAGTATGTGCATTTTTAAAATTTTGCATTTTTTATTAATTCTTAATAAGCGTGTCAAGTGAACAATGAAAAAATATTACCGAACAGAGAGAATACTAGAAATTACTCCCTCCGTCCCAAAAAGATTTACACGTTTCAAACAAATTGTGTCCCACAATCCCTTACCCATTTCTATTAAAAAACTACTTTTACCC